CGCCCATGAACCCGAAGCCTCTGGCCAAGCCCTAAACCCTAAACCCTAAACCCGAAACCCTAAACCCCAAACCCTAAACCCCAAACCCTAAACCCGAAACCCTAAACCCGAAACCCCAAACCCGAAACTTTGAAGCCTTCAGTTTCCGTCTTTCAGGGCACCATACGTGACCCTGGACCCCACATCGACCCCATATCGCCACCCCCCAACCTTGAACCCTGTAACTTGGGATGTTCCCCCTTATACTAACAGTCCACTATAAGGAATATAATAAAGGGGTACTATCATCCCGATGAAGGACCGTTAATATAAGGGGGAACATCCCAACCTGAAAGAACAAGAACATCAGCAAAAACAAACAAAAAAAACATCGCACGGGGAATAGGAGCGGACTTGGGGCCTGGGGTATGTGGTTTGAAGGGCTTCTGTTGTAACCCACCCTAACCCTAAACTCCAAACCCTCGACCCTAAACTCTAAACCGCAAACCCTAAACCCCAAAAAGTTGGTTCTTTGGGGGCTTTGGCTCTTCAGGGAGATGTGCCTCACAGTCAGCGAGGTTCGGCAGGTCCGGCGTGGGATCCTCGGTGCCCTTGCCTTAGGGAGGACCCAGGGGCTTCGGGCTTGGGGGGGGGGGGTTTAGGGGTTTGGGGTTTGGGGTTAGGGTGTAGGGTGTAGGGTTTAGGGTCTAGAGTTTAGGGTCTAGGGTTTCGGGTTTAGGGTTTAGGGTTTAGGGTTCAGGGTGTGTGGGCGGAAACCTACCAGCACGAGTCGAGTCCCGAACTCCCCATACCTGGGGCCTTCAACACATCCTAAACCGTAAGCCCTAAGCCCTAAACCCTAAACCCTAAACCCTTAACCCTTACACCCTAAACCCTAAACCCGAAACCCTAAACCCTAAACCCTGTTCCGCGCGAAGGTTTCGGGGGGCTTCGGGGATGAACGGGGCCCCCGGCTACTGTCACTGACAGCGGAGCTGGTGCGGCTGCGGCTGGAGGACTCGGCAGTCGTGCTCGTACCTCAGGGTTTGGGGTTTAGGGTTTAGGGTTTAGGGTTCAGGGTTTAGGGCTACTTGGAGGTGCATTTGGGCGGTCACAAGTAGGGTTCTTAGGGTAACTATACTTGTAACCTTACCTAGCGTACTTCTAACCCTGCTTATGACTACCCATGAACCTTCAAGTACACGGCTTGTTGACAGCTTCGGGAATTTGGGGGATTTGGGTCTAGAGTTTTGGAGCTTGGGTCTTGCATACTACGGGGTTGAAGGGCGATCGGGCTTGGCAGCGTTTCCAGGGTTTAAGGAAGGGGAAGGGGTGGCCGGCCTCCAACACAAACTCAAGTCAGAGCGATTTGGGGGTTGAAGCTTGCCTTACTCCTACCATCCCAAGAGACCCTACTATGGTCACAAGCCGTAAAGCAGAAGTCCAATAGGCCTGCATGAAGGTGTTACGCCTTGGGCTAAAAACCTTCGCACAAACTTCAAGCCTACTCCAACAATGAAAGGTGCATAGTTGCATGGTCCCTTTGTCTGGGCCCTTAAAGGGGACTTATATACCCCTTAATACCCTACCTATACAAATTAAGGGCCCTTGCATCAGAACCCTTTAAGGAAGGCTAAGGACCATATTAAGGGCCCATGTACCCTCGGATTCTGAACCCTTTTTAACCCCAGAAAGCCCTCGGTGTCAGCCGCCTGTCTGCCGCGAAGAGCTGCTTCCCGGGGAGGTCTGAAGGCCCAGTGCCACCAAGGCACTCTCGATCTGCGCGCGGAGGGCTTCAAGCTCTCTTTTTTCGGGGGCTTGGGTTTCAGGGTTTCGGGTTTCGGGTTTAGGGTTTAGGGTTTAGGGTTTAGGGTTTAGGGTTTAGGGTTTAGGGTTTTCGGGGAGTTCAGGCTTGTCGGGGCTTGGTGGGTTCTAGGGGGCTTGGTGGGTACGATGTCTACCTTTAAGGGGTGTCCTTGTCAGGGATACTGGGAGCCCAGGATCCCTGAAGCCACATTCCCCTTACATAGCCCCTACAGAATCCGAACGGCCCTGATTCACCTACTGAAATTCCTTCTATACTGGCACGCCGCCTGTGTACTTTGGGCCTTGGGGGTAGGGACCCCCAAGTAGAAGTGCTTTTATTACAGGTGTCCATGAGCTTTCAAGCAAGCGTCAGGGAAGTTTAGGGGGATTTCGGTTGAGGGTTCAGTGCTCTAGGGACTGTGCAGCTGTTTGGGCTTGAGGTTCATGGTTTACCCTCGCCTGCATCTCTGAAAGTACGAACCGGTGGGCTGAACTATCCACCAGAAAACCGGAAATTGACTAAACCCTAAACCCTAAACCCTAAACCCTAAACCCTGAGCATTTCAGCGCCTCCGCCCCCCTGGTCTCCATGCCAAGCCGCAGGTCGGCCAAGGCCTCTTCCGGCTTTGCGGAGGTGGGCCGTGGGCTTTGGGGGGCTTAGGGTTGAAGATTTAGGGGTTTAGGGTTTAGGGTTTAACGTTTCGGGTTTAGGGTTTCGGGTTTAGGGTTAGGGTTTAGGGTTTAGGGTTTAGGGTTTAGGGTTTAGGGTTTAGGGTTGAGGGTTTAGGGTTTAGGGTTTAGGGTTTAGGGTTTAGGGTTTAGGGTTTAGGGTTTAGGGTTTAGGGTTTAGGTTTTAGGGTTGGGGGCTCAGAGCCCGAGACTTCGCAAGTGTAAGACTTTGCTTGGCCTAGCATATTGGCAAAGCGCCGGAAGACTTCATCTGGCGGCACACGGTTTACACCTTCAACTTGGGATCTTCCCCCCAATACTAACAGCCCTTCATCGGGATTACAATAAAAAGTACGATTGAGGACTGTTAGTCTGCTATAGCCTGTTAGTATAAGGGGGAACATCCCAACCTTAATAGGGATTTTTATAGGGAGTACGATTAAGGACTGTTAGTCTGTTATAGTCTGTTAGTATAAGGGGGAACATCCCAACCTTAAACTTTAAAGCCACAGTCCCAGCCGAGCCCCAGGTCCAGTCCAACCGAAGCCAAGCCCGACGTGAGTTCGTCCGGACTTCCTCGAGCCGTAAACCCGAACTGCACCCACCGCAAGTCCTCCAAGGACCTCACTCCCTTAGGTTGCAAGAGCACAACAAGATCTCGCGCACACACACACACAACCCTAAACCCTAAACCCTAAACCCTACACCCTAAACGCCCTAAACCTCCAAGAAGAGGCCTGCAGCAGAAGCGCCAGCACGGCCACACGGTCCCGCAGGACGCGCCGGGTGGATCCGAGACTGGCTCGCGCTTGGCTGCAAGTTTGTTGCACAGGGCATAAGGATCTGTTTTTGGGCTTAAGGATTAGGGTTTAGGGCTTGAAGGGGGGGGGTCGAGGATTTTGGGCTCTTGGGCTGAGGTTTTCTGGAGGGGTTTGCTGGAGGGCGGTCAAGGGTGAGCTCAGGTTTCGGCGTTCACAGTGCATTCGGGCGCTGCACTCTTTGGAGGCCAGCTGTTTGGGTTCGGGCAGCTCATACACTTCGAACCCGGAAACCCCACCAAACCCCAAAATGCCCTGAACCCTAAACCCTAAACCCTAAACCCTAAACCCCAAACCCCAAAACCCCAACATGCTGAATCTTGCTCGCAAAAAAAATCGGCAGAGCTGCTGCTGCCAAAGGCTGAGCTACCCGCTGTGGTGCCATTGGCATCTTTTGGAGCTCGTACCTTTCTTGGGCTATTTACTCCTTCATAATACTACTTCTTTGTAGTAGGTTTATATATATATATATATAGCATATATGTATATATATATATATATATATATATATATATATGACCTAGTTACTTATTTAGTTTTAGATACTAAATGTTATGTATTATACTTTAAGTTGCACTCTATGTTTATGCATAGTTTCTTCGTTTTTTGATCAAGATACATACTACACAATATGACACTACAGAAAATGCGTTCCAGGACAACGAAAGCTAGCCGAGATTCACGCCCTGGTGATTGTGCCTAATGCGCTAAGGAAGACCGAACACGCACTCACACTGACCGCGATCTAAAGCTCAAGATCCCCACGCAATCCCAACGTTGAGGAAACGTCCGCTCTTAGAGGTAGCGCGATCTGGACCTCAGGAGCTCCCAAAACACACGATCGAGGGAAGAAAGGAGTATGAACGGCATGTTTGGAGCAGCATGCGCTCATGGAGATCGTGATCCCGGTCAGCGGAGCTCTCCAGAACACGCGCTTGAGACAAAGACGTACAGACACGTGCTCATGCAGACCGCGAGTTAAGACCTCAAGATCCACGCCAAACTCTCACAGAAACCCTGCATGTGCTGTTGAGAAGCCTAGGCCGTCTTGTCGAATATACCGCTTTTTGCGGCAGATGGAGCGATCGCGGAGCTCTCCGAAAATCCCGCGCATCTATCACCACCCACCCCCCCCCCCCCCTCCCATTTCACGCTAGATGCGATGAATTTCGACCCCCCCTGCCACTTTTAAAAGAAGCTACCGGACTGAACTGCAGATCCCGAAAAAACGTTAGACCTCAAACCCTACACCACACCCAAAAAAAACCATCATTCAGAAACTGAGCGAAGCTTCGTGCTTCACGTATTGGGGCGGCAATGGCTCCTAACACAACAGAAACCCACAACCCTCAACCCGAAACCCTAAACCTAAAACCCTAAACCCTAAACCCTAAACCCTAAATCCTAAACCCTAAACCCTAAACCCTAAACCCTAAACCCTAAACCCTAAACCCTAAACCCTAAACCCTAAACCCTAAACCCTAAACCCTAAACCCTAAACCCTACACGATTCCCAAAAGGGCACTTCAGGGAGTCCAGCCGCCTCTCCAGCCCGCGGGCCGCCTGGGCCCGCACGGCCTCCGCTTCCGGCGTGTATAGGGTGTTCAGGATTTGAGGGTTCGGGTTTGGGGTTTGGGGTTTGGGGTTTAGGGTTTAGGGTTAGGGTTTAGGGTTTAGGGTTTAGCGCTTAGGGTTTAGGGTTTAGGGTTTAGGGTTTAGGGTTTAGGGTTTAGGGTTTAGGGCTTAGGGCTTATAAGGGCTTAGGGTTTAGGGCTTAGGGTTTGGGGTTTAGGGTTTAGGGTTTAGGGTTTAGGGCTTAGGGCTTAGGGGTTAGGGTTTAGGGTTTAGGGTTTAGGGTTTAGGGTTTAGGGTTTAGGGTTTAGGGTTTAGGGTTTAGGGTTTAGGGTTTAGGTTTAGGGGTTAGGGTTTAGGGTTTAGGGTTTTGGGTTTAGGGTTTAGGGTTTAGGGTTTAGGGTTTAGGGTTTAGGGTTTAGGGTTTAGGGTTTAGGGTTTAGGGTTTAGGGTTTAGGGTTTAGGCCTGTGCCCCCTTGACGGGTGTTCAGGGTTTAAGGGCTGAAGGGCCCCAGAAACCCAGACCTAGGTTTCAGGGCTTCTGGTGCTGAAGGAGTTAAGGCTCCGGGTTCAAGGTTTATGTTTGGGGCGTCAGGGTTTCGGGGCTTAAACCCTACACCCTAAACCCTAAACAAACCCTACGCCACGTGCCTCTCGCCAGTCCTCCTTGAAAGCACGCAACGCCGTCAGTGCAGCCGCCACCGTCTGTCAAGGCATGTTCGGGGCACGAGTGCTCAGAGCTTCAGGGCTTGCGGTTTAGGGTTTACGGTTTAGGGTTTAGGGTTTAGGGTTTAGGGTTTAGGGTTTAGGGGTTCGGGGTTAGGGTTTAGGGTTTAGGGTTTAGGGTTTAGGGTTTAGGGTTTAGGGTTTAGGGTTTAGGGTTTAGGGTTAGGGTTTAGGGTTTAGGGTTTGGTTCAGAAACTTGAGGCTGCAGAGGCCTACAGCTTTGTAAAAGTGGCTTGGAAAGTACAGCAAGTCAATGCTGGAAGTGTCTGGGAACATTGGGAATGAACGCATCACCTCGCTTCGCGAAGTTCACGATATTCATAGCTGCGCATGGGGCCGCTTACGTGGCCGGAAAAACGCAGTCGATCAACTCCACCCAATGCAGGCTGCCCTCGGCAAGAAGCATCAAAATGCTCGTGCCACTCATCCCAACGTCTGTACGTCAGAGGGAGATTGCTTGCTGCTCATTAGAACATGTAAATACTTAGAAAACTCATAAAAGATCGACAACGAAATTGTCTTTGTCAACATGTTGACATCACATGCTGATCCAAAGCTTCTCACTATACTCCTCCACCACTGCTTCACAGGCAGCAGGGTAGCCGCTCAGTGCTTTATAAACAAAGTCTGGGGCGGCCGTGTGTGTGACAAGGTCCATCACAGTCTTTCCTTTCACATTGCAATGGTCCAAGCTCGCACCCGCTGAGATCAGAACGGCCGCGGCTTCGAAAGAGCAGCTGAGGATGCTGCACATCAAAGGCGTGGCCCCTGCCAGGTTGCTGGCATACGTGCTTAAGGCCGAGGGCCGCCAATGGTGCCGCAGGCTAAGGAACGCGCACACGAGGCCGAAAGGACTCCAGAGGCTGGGCTGCGCTGGCTGATTGATGTCCGACCCGGCTTCGACCAAAATGGCCACCACTTCTGCCGAGGCGTGCCCGTAGAGGATGGCCGAGTGTAGCCCGACCGCGAGCTCCTCGACACTCCCACTAAAAAAAGGGGGCCCCCCCCCCCCTTTCGTCACGGAAGCGCGCGTGCACGCGCTTGTACGCACATGTCCACATGCACCAGTGGGTCTGTCCTACAAACCCTCTCCCAAGCCCATCCTCCTGGCTCATGCAGGGAAGGAGCTCCTGCGCGTGGCGTTGAGGTCCGGGCTCCGGAGTCTGGGTTCGAGAGTACGGGCGAGTGCTTGCAGGGCCGGGCTATGTCGGGCTCCCTGGGAGCAAAATGCCTCAGACAGACCGCTCCCCCCCACATCGAAATGTTATGGGGTGGGACTCAGGCCTGTGCGTGCAGCGAGGCATCGATGATTCGAGCAAGGGTGGCTCAGGTTTCGCTTGGGGCGCAGGACATTCGACCTAAACCAAGTTGGGCATGAACCCTGCCGTCCGTGCTGCGAAGCACAGACACACAGACACACAGACACACAGACACACAGACACACAGACACACAGACACACAGACACACAGACACACAGACACACAGACACACAGACACACAGACACACACACAGACACACAGACACACAGACACACAGACACACAGACACACAGACACACAGACACACAGACACACAGACACACAGACACACAGACACACAGACACACAGACACACAGACACACAGACACACAGACACACAGACACACAGACACACAGACACACAGACACACAGACACACAGACACACAGACACACAGACACACAGACACACAGACACACAGACACACACACACACACACACACACACACACAAACAAACACACGGGACATCGATATATATATATATATATATGTATATATATATATATACATACACATTTAGTCACCACCCCGCCCCTGCGACAGACGCTAGTCTCCGAACCGCTGGAAATAGCGATCAGCACGCTGCCTTTCAAAATCCCAAAACCGATGCTTCCTGCAGGGGTGCCGACCGGGGGATTTGCCAGCAGCCCAAAACCAAAAACCAAAAAACAAATCCCCAGCGAGAATCTCAGAACTCGTTTTTGTCTTGGTTGCTTTTACTGTTTTTCGTTTTTTGGCATTTTGTTTCATTGAATTTCGTTTTTCATTGAGTTGTGTGTTTGGTTTTCGTTTCGGTGGCTTTGGCTTGAGGATTTCAAACCACAACCAAAAAATCTACCAAAACAAGAAACATCGAAAGGATTCAACCCAAAGCATGCTCTGAGATTCTCCCGGAGGGTTGCTGTTTGGTTTGGGGCTTTTACGGGCCCCTTCTGAGCAGCTAGTTGCCAGTGGTGGAAGAAGCAACGCGTCCCTCTCGAGCCGAAAAGGGCGGTTTGCTTTTCCACAAGTTTGGCCCTTTTTGATACTCCTTCCGCCAAAGAGCAGGGCACCCAGTTTTTGAGAGAAGAATACTGTAGAAAGTACCGCTAATTTTGCGCGTTCATACCCCCCCCCCCCCCCCCCCCCCCCCCTCCCTCCGCCGATGATCCACACCAGTGGCTCTGAAGGTAGGCGAGGGGATGACACCAGGCATTAGGTGACAGAAAAAGTTGCTTTGGGCCGCCCTTCGTAAGTCAATTCGACCGGGAGTTTATATGCAGAGTCGTCCACCTTCTCGGAAATGTTGTTCTGAGCCAAGTTGACTTTGGATTCTTTGTAGTTTGGCAGCTTTTCTACTTTGGCTTGCTGAGGTATGGCATGAAGTACACGACGCAAATAAAGCAAAGATACCACTTGGTTGAGGTGGTTCAGGTTCAAACAGCACCGTCACTGAATGCGAAGTCTTGCAGTGTAGAGATGCACGGTGTGTAAGAACGCATCTTTCGGTGTCAAAAGAGAAGATGTAGTCCCCGGAGCATGTGTGACCACATACTGGAAATGTACACACACAATGCACTTTAGGGTTTAGGGTTTAGGGTTTAGGGTTTAGGGTTTAGGGTTTAGGGTTTAGGGTTTAGGGTTTAGGGTTCAGGGTTTAGGGTTTAGCGATCAGGGCTTAGGGCTGAGGGCTTAGGGTTTAGCGTGCTCCTTGATGCACTTCACGCTGCCCATGGCACAAGCCTCGGCTGTACTTGATCAAGCCTTAGCCCTAAACCCTAAACCCTAAACCACCCTAAACCCTAAACCCCAAACCCTAAACCCTAAACCCTAAACCCTAAACCCTAAACCCTAAACCCTAAACCCTAAACCCTAAACCCTAAACCCTTTCCTTGAAGCCAGAGGCCTCAACCTCAAACCCATTCGGGGGTTTACGATATTGGTTGGGATGTTGTACTATAATCCCTATTGAGGAGTGTTACTATAAGGGGGTTTACGATATTGGCGGTACCCATTGGGTCCTTGGTAGAAGGGGATCCTACTATTTGGGGGTCTTTGGTATGGGTCCCTTATGACCGTAAGCCCCCATGCTGGCATGGAGGTTGTTCTGAAAATTAGGGTCCCCTCTCGGACAACTTGCTTTTTCACAAAAGCTTAGATATCATCATCCAAAAACCGCCGGCGTGATGACCTGTAACGTAGCCCAGGCGTCCCACCCACCCGGACGCACTAGCAACACAAGAAAGACTGGCCCCCGTCGCCCTCCCGCCCAAACCCCCCAAAACCCTAAGCCCGACGACCCGTGATGCATCTCTGCAGAAACTGAGCATAGCCTGCTGGACTTCGGCAGCACCTACAAAGCTACCTTCTTGGGCTTTGGGGCTTAGAGACACAGGAGTGCGACCACGAAGTCGGTGAGAGAGCTGTTTCTCCCCAACGCATCGCGACTCTTGGAGCCTCCTTGTGCTTTCACGCGTCAAAAGTGTGTGCTGACAGTTCGGAGGATGGGGTACCAGGGGCTCCTCCTCACTTTTGAAGCGTCGTTGAGAGACTGATACCTATGTGGGTGGTTGTCCCTTTTTGGGTACCCCAAAAGGGATCATAGTTTTGACAACCACCCATGACCTATTTTGCTTTAAAGGAGTTTAGAGTAGTATCACCGGTAGGCATGCCAGGACCGCTTCTTCTACGTGACGCGAAGGACGGGCTTGCAATGACCCGTGCCATGTCCGCGTTGACCACGTCAAATGTAGATCTATGTGCTACTTCTTGCATGTGTGGGATAAGACCCGAAACAGAGACGAAAGGACAAGGTTCATACATAGAATACATAAATAAAGAGGGAACAACGGAGAGGAGAGATGAGACCATCAGACACATCCACTCGGAGCTCGGGCCGCGCCTGGCATCTGTTACTTTGCGGTGGTACGTGGCGCGCGTCTGCATTGGGGCCTAAACCCCCTCCGCCCTGAACCCTGAACCCTGAACCCTAAACCCTAAACCCACAACCCTAAACCCTACACCCCAAACCCTAAACCCTAAACCCCAAACCCCAAACCCTACACCCTAAACCCCAAACCCTAAACCCTAAACAAAAAGCAACCCAAGGAGCCAGCCCAAAGGGCAGCTCGCCAAACAGCGCGCGGTGCTCCAAGCTGCAGCCGGCCGCCATCAGCTGCCGGAGCCCTTTGCAGGGGGATTCGAGGGGTTTTGGGGTTTTGGGTTTAGGGTTTTAGGGTTTTAGGGTTTCAGGGTTTTAGGGTTTTAGGGTGTTAGGGTGTTAGGGTTTTAGGGTTTTAGGGTTTTAGGGTTTCAGGGTTTTAGGGTTCTAGGGATTAGGATTTAGGGTTTTAGGGGTATAGAGTTTTAGGGTTTAGGGTTTTAGGGTTTTAGGGTTTTAGGGCTTTAGGGGTTTAGGGTTTTAGGGGTTTAGGGTTTTAGGGTTTCAGGGTTTTAGGGCTCTAGGGTTTAGGATTTAGGGTTTACGGCTTAGGGATGTTTAGGGTTTCCGGTTTAGGGATGCTTAGGGTTTAGGGCTCAGGGCTTAGGGGGCTTAGGGCCCAGGGCTTCGGGTTTAGGATTTGGATTAGGATCTCCTGGGGTTTTGGGGCTGAGGATGGTTTAGGCTTGTGGGCTGAGGGTCTCAACTTGCGATGTTGGCCCGCGACGCCCAAAACATAATCACTGCAACTAACGGCTCATCATAAGTGAAGCTGTTTTTGCATGTGCTGTACCTTGCTGAGGGTTGTAAGTACAGTTGCCATGCTGCTAACGCTGCTTGTAGCATGAGAATCCCAAGTGCGGGTTCAGGGCGGCGGGGGGCTGAGTGTAGGAGCCCCAGTAGGCTCCTCATTACGGCAGCCAGCCTTCGAGATTGTTGCCCACACAGGCCCAATGAGCTGCCGTGGCTCTGAGCCCATCCTTCTGCTCAATGTCCGCAGAAAAGTCAATGAGCATCTGCACCGCATGGTTGTGCTGCAAGCAAACGCACATGTCCAGGATGCTGGTGCCTTGCGCAAACTGCAGGACAGGATCTCGGCACCCGATGCACGCATTGACATCCGCGCGCTGCTCGAGCAAGGCGGCCATGACGAGAGGGTCACCACCCAGGGCTGCGTAGCACAGTGGCGTCCATCCCAGGTCGTTTCGCTCCAGGGCACTGGAAAAGAAGTTCTGGTGCAAGAACTCCGCGAGAGCGTGCTTGGATGGATCGATCTCGTCTGAAGAGAAGCCATGCGAGGAGCTCTCGACGGCCTTGACCGGAAGACCCCTGAAGAGAACCTTCTGTATGTTGAGCAGCACGCGGTAGTTGTGCAGGTCCTCCTGCCTATGCTCCCCTAAGAACCTTAACAAAAACAATGTTTTTTCAATATCCTCTTGGGTTTTATATTTAATATAAACAGAATTTTAAAAAAACAATAATAAATAATAAATAATTCCCAAAAAGGGTGCGCGAAGTAGTGGCGCAGCTTCGCCCTGACCATTTTGTGGAGCACCTCCGCCACGCGCACGCGGTCGGTCTCCTCGGTGAACTGGCCCTCGCCCACGGGGCTGCGGATCCAGTCGAAGGTGTTCGACAAGACCTGGAGTCATTTTTCCCTTAAAATAAGGCCCCTTTTTATACCCCAAATGGAATATAGAATTATCCTTATTATCCTTAAAGGGACCCCCCCGGCCGATTTTCGGAAACAATCACCTGGTGCGTGGCGCTGTGGATCTCCACCGTGGCGATGGCATCGGCATGCAGGCTCAGCTCGCGGGCAGCCCTTTCCAACCTGCACCAGCCTGGCTGAAGGTGGAGACCCAAACCCTAAACCCATGAAGCAAGAATTTTCCTGCAACGGTCCTTGCGGTCTACCTGAAATGTGGCTCAACCTTTCTTGGCCTTACTTGTGGCCGCAGGCACTTTCCGCTGCCAGCCTCGACCCGCCCAGGTGTGTTTGCTGAGGAGCGTGTTGTCACGTGCATGCCGAACATGAGGACAAAGGATGCAAAAGATCTGACAACGAGCCACGTAGGAGGGTATGCTATCGATGGCAGACTGCCGATGTTGGACGTTAGCCTGCGGACAGCTGAAATAGTCGTACCACAGGTACAGGCTGCTACTCAACCTGTCTTTCATGGAGATTCCGTGCTGCTGGCCGGCCAGGAGCTCCATGACCATGCTGACCGAAACAGAGCTTGCTCCTGACAGCAAGTTCTTCAGGGCAGCCTGGAGAACTTTCAGTTGCTGAAGGTCGGGGTCGGGGTGGCCCTTGCCAGCCCACTGATGAGAGATGAAGAGTGCTTCTCCAAGATTCTCCATGAATTTCACCAGCATGCCCTCCTCAAGCAGCTCCTCGTGCGGCTGCAAGCGAGTCATCAACCAAAGCGTATGCACCGGAACCACGTACATGTCGAAGAAGCTCATGAAGCTCAACCGCCTGTTCAGAAGGAAAGCTGTTGGAGACTCACCGGGCTAACAATAGCATGCTGTTGGGTGGCCCAGACCCGCTACAACTTAGCCTGGAACCCCAAGCCTCTAAAGACTCTAAAGCGTCCCAAGCCTTGAAACTCCCCCAAACCCCCCAAACCCCCCAAACCCCAAACTCCCCCCCACTCCTCGTCGATGGCTTACGTGACGGCGCACGCGATGACGGCGACTCCATGGCTTAGAACGACGGCACTGGTTGGCTTTGGGTCTTTTGGTGCTTTTGCGCGGTTCGGGGCCGTGGTTTCGGGTGTGGGGGGTGGCCGGCTCGCGGGCCCCTTGCAAAAACACGCGCGCAACCTGGGAAATGCATGTGCACACACAAAGCACATCAGCATGTCACACTGCGATGCAGCGCACGTCCTTTCAATGAGACTATTTAGCATTTTCCTGCTGTGGGAGGTGGTTTCGGAGGGCGTGGGCAGCGGGGTGGGGGGGAGGGGGGTTGGGAGGGAGGAAAGTGGCGAGCATGGGAAGAAAACTCACTCTCAATGGCCCTCTTGATGACTTGATGGACAAGGAGGGTACGTCTGAGTCTTCTGGGCTCTGGTTGAGGGGTTCTGTGCTGTAGTCTTTGGGGCTCCCCTGCACCATGACATCTGGAAACCCCCCCCTTTGCGGAAGCCTCTGGAGGCGCCGAGGGCTCGGATAGAACCTGGTAGGACCATCAGGAACCGCCTCAAGGTTCTGGAGTAAACAGAGTGTGAGGCAGAGGACTCTGGAACCTTCAAGCTGCTGATGCCTTCACGCGCTCTGTGAGCCAAGCCACCGGACTAAACCCCTAACCCTGGACCCTAAACGCTAGGACCCTATCATCCCTGCTCAATCCCTACGCAGAATGGGGAGGCCTCTTGCAGCGGTTGTGCCAACTGCGCGGCTGCCCGCGGCAGACAGAGCTGCGATGGCACGAGGGCTTTGACGAGGTTTGGATTTTGATAGGGGGCTTTGCAAGTTGCAATGGGTTGATGTATAGATGGGTTGGAGCTTTACGGGATTCTAGATTCTAGTTTTAGGTCTAGTTTTAGCACTCAGCGGGCGTAAGTTGAGACAGGGGTTTGCGTGGAATCTGTGATAAAACGAACCCAGACCCTAAATCCTAAACCCTAAACTCCAAAGAACCCAAAACCCTTCGGGCTGTAAACTCCCAAGCAAGCCCGTCGGCACGGTTCAGAGACTTTTCAGCTTCGGGCTTCAGGGGGTTCACTCTCAACCCGAAAATTAGGATCTGAAGTTTAGGGTTTAGGGTCTAGGGTTTCGCTCAACCAAGACCTGGCGCAGTTTTCTCCCTTCTTCCTTCCTTGCGACTTGGAGCGCACACGTGCCTTTGACACCTTGGTGGGCGAAGTCGTCAAGGATTCGAGCCCAAGGCCCCTTTCGTGAGGTCTAAGAGAGATCTTCAAGTAGACGCGGGTCTCATGAACTCAGTATTCAGCATAACCATAACCCCTGACACCCTCAACCCGGTCCTTAGATCTTGCTTGTCAGGTACAGGGATGGGGCCATCGGCTCCACTACGCTGGAGGCCGTAAGATTTATTGCGTCCATTCTACTTTTTGGGGGGTTTAGGGGGGTTCAGGGCTTCGCGTTTGGGGCTCGGATTTGGGGGTTTGGGCGTTCTAGAATGTGGGGATGGCTTCGTAAGGGGTTGGCACAGAGAGAGAGACTTGAGATCGCTGAGGTGCGCACCGTGGCTTTCGATTCTTTCCCACTGCGCACCTGCCCAAAGAATTGTGGGTCTGTTCGGGTCGAGGCGGCTTTTGGGGCAGTGGAGGGCTGGAAGTACTAACCACCCACGTCAAGAAGGGGCTTTGCGAGTTGAGCTTCAGGGGCTTCAGGTGCTGGGCTTAGTTCGAGAGCTCTGTCGCTTGACCAATGGGCTGTCTCGGCTGCGGTCTTGCTTAGGGTTGGGTTTAGGGTTGAGGGTTGAGGGTTTAGGGTTTAGGGTTTAGGGATTAGGGTACAGGGTACAGGGTTTAGGGTTTAGGGTTTAGGGTTTACGGTTTAGGGTTTAGGGTTTAGGGCTCAGGGTTTTGCAGGGTCGGCGACGTCAGCAGTTGGTTTGGCTTACGCTGGCATGTTTGGATGGGTCCCGCCCTGGGAAATGCTCGAATTCTCTTCAGCACCGACAAACAACTTCCATGCGAACCATGAGCTATGCAAAATGGTGCGTGCAGGCCTCGTCCACCACTCTCAAAATGTTTTGCTTCCCTTCGTGTTTGATAAACTGCAAGACCTGGCCGTTGCACTTCATGAGCCAGGAGTGCGTGCATGCCTATCCAGAATCCTGAACCGCAAACGCCTACAGCTAAGCACTCCCAACAAGCGTGCCGTCGAACTGACACCCACACCCGATGTAGCTGTTGGGGTTTCACCGTGGTAGGCTCGGCCTTCGAGCGGAACACCCTCAACATGGAGGTGAACCCTAAACCCTAAACCCTAAACCCTAAACCCTAAACCCCCATCGAATTCGGCTGCTTGGTTGCATGCCGGCTACACCGAGTTGCCCTTGAAGGACTTCAGGGTCACATCTGCCCGGCAAGTCATCAGCACCCGCACGGCGTCCTGCTCTGAGGGCGCGCGGGGAGTCCTAAGAATCCTTAGACGCCCTTCAGCCCTGTAACCCCCAAGCCCCTTCAACCCTTCAACCCCCCAAGGCCTGCCTAAACCCTAAACCCTAAACCCTAAAACCCTAAAACCCTAAACCCCTAAAACCTTAAAACCCTAAAAGCCTAAAACCCTAAAACCCTGAAACCCTAAATAAACCCCCACCTCGAGCCCCACAAGCCCCCAAAAGGCGAGGGAAGCCCCAGCCTCGTGCCCGGTGACCGCCGCAATGAGCAACGGGCTGTACCCATCTTTGTTGACCTCGAAAGAAAGCGGAAGTCTCCAAACCGGAGCCGGCTGATAGGAGGGTTTAGGGTTTAGGGTCTAGGGTCTAGGGTTTAGGGTTTGGGGTTTAGGGTTTAGGGCTTGTCGATTTAACATGCGTAGTGTATGGAAATCAAGACGGACGTCCGAAACCTTCAGCGCAAAAGAGTTCCGTCATGTACATGGAGCTCTACTTTCTCCCACCCCAGGATGCCACCCAAAGCATTTGTAAGACGCTTAAGTTCTTAAGCGTCGCTAATACTGATAATAGTGTTTGGTAAAGATATTTCAGAATATGTGTATATAGACCATGCACTGACACAGTGAATGGCTGTAATTATGTTCCATAATTACCATTTACTTCTAGGTAAGACTAGAAAGTCGGCTTCGCTAAAGCCTTTGGGTGGCTTAGGGGGGCTTACCCCTCCTGTGGGGTACCCCACACAGAAAAACGCCTTGTTTTGGAATAATTTTTGGCTCCAAGCACGATTTAGAAAGGCCAGACAAAGAAAAACGCACTTAAAGAGGCTACACACAAAGAAACGCACTGTTTTGGAATAATTTTTGGCCCCAAGCACGATTTAGCAAGGCCAGACAAAGAAAAACACGCTGTTCCCGAGTAATTTTTGGCTCCAAGGCCTTTGGCTGGCCACAAGCACTCGAGGGTCCATTTTTTGATCCGGGTTTGACTGGGGCTTAGGGTGGCTTCCCCTCTCCTGGGCTACCCCACAGGAAAGCTACAATTCCAGAAAATGAGGGGGTAATTTCCGCTATATAAAATCTATTTAAAATTAACTGGGAATCGAGCCATTTTTCCCGAATCCTGGGGTACCCCCCACGGAGCCTCCCTGGGACCTTCAAAAAAGCTTTCAGCTTCCTTCAGACCTTCGAAAGAGCTTCAGAGAGGCCACACAAAGAGAAACGCACTGTTTTGGAGTAATTTTTGGCTTCAACCACGATTTAGCAAGACCAGACAAGAAAAACGCACTGTTCCCGAGTAATTTTTAGCTCCAAGGCCTTTGGCTGGCCACGAGTAGCAAGGCCAGACAAAGAAAAACACGCTGTTCCCGAGTAATTTTTGGCTCCAAGGCCTTTGGCTGGCCACAAGCACTCGAGGGTCCATTTTTTGATCCGGGTTTGACTGGGGCTTAGGGTGGCTTCCCCTCTCCTGGGCTACCCCACAGGAAAGCTACAATTCCAGAAAATGAGGGGGTAATTTCCGCTATATAAAATCTATTTAAAATTAACTGGGAATCGAGCCATTTTTCCCGAATCCTGGGGTACCCCCCACGGAGCCTCCCTGGGACCTTCAAAAAAGCTTTCAGCCTCCTTCAGACCTTCGACAGAGCTTCAGAGAGGCCACACAAAGAGAAACGCACCGTTTTGGAGTAATTTTTGGCTTCCACCACGGTTTAGCAAGGCCAGACAAAGAAAAACGCGCTGTTCCCGAGTAATTTTTGGCTCCAAGGCCTTTGGCTGGCCACGAGCACTCGAGGGTCCATTTTTTGATCCGGGTTTGACTGGGGCTTAGGGTGGCTTCCCCTCTCCTGGGCTACCCCACAGGAAAGCTACAATTCCAGAAAATGAAGGGGTAATTTCCGCTATATAAAATCTATTTAAAATTAACTGGGAATCGAGCCATTTTTCCCGAATCCTGGGGTACCCCCCACGGAGCCTCCCTGGGACCTTCAAAAAAGCTTTCAGCTTCCTTCAGACCTTCGAAAGAGCTTCAGAGAGGCCACACAAAGAGAAACGCACTGTTTTGGAGTAATTTTTGGCTTCAACCACGATTTAGCAAGGCCAGACAAGAAAAACGCACTGTTCCCGAGTAATTTTTAGCTCCAAGGCCTTTGGCTGGCCACGAGTAGCAAGGCCAGACAAAGAAAAACACGCTGTTCCCGAGTAATTTTTGGCTCCAAGGCCTTTGGCTGGCCACAAGCACTCGAGGGTCCATTTTTTGATCCGGGTTTGACTGGGGCTTAGGGTGGCTTCCCCTCTCCTGGGCTACCCCACAGGAAAGCTACAATTCCAGAAAATGAGGGGGTAATTTCCGCTATATAAAATCTATTTAAAATTAATTGGGAATCGAGCCATTTTTCCCGAATCCTGGGGTACCCCCCACGGAGCCTCCCTGGGACCTTCAAAAAAGCTTTCAGCCTCCTTCAGACCTTCGAAAGAGCTTCAGAGAGGCCACACAAAGAGAAACGCACCGTTTTGGAATAATTTTTGGCTTCCACCACGGTTTTAGCAAGGCCAGACAAAGAAAAACGCGCTATTCCCGAGTAATTTTTTGCTCCAAGGCCTTTGGCT